CTCACGGCAATTCGTAACTTTTTCAGTTAGTAGCTAATTCGTACAAATTTGTAAGATCTAATTTGTACATTTTAGTACAATTTGCTCATCCCCCAATGACGGTTGAGTTTAGGGGTGGGGTTAGGTGTAACGCCTCCTTTTTAAAATCGTACAATTTCGTGCGACTGAACTCGTACGAATTAGCCACTAAACTGCCAAAACGTAAAATACTTGCATTTTCTCGTGAGATCAGGCTGGAACGAAAACACGAAACACCAAAACACATTGTTTGACCTGTTGACAGTCGTATATGTGTCCCACACTGCTATAAACACTATGAGGACACACTTATTTCACCAGCAAGTGAAAATTGGTTGTTTTTGCATTATTTCGAGAAAATTCGTTTCCGGTTTGAAAAGATATTTTGAAGTTGCGTCCTGGAGATTAGATTACGTTAATTCCAGTGTGAAGACTGGATGTCTGTACCGAGGGGTACAACGTGATGTTGTTTTCAGCATTAATTCATGAGAAAGACTTGGTTTTAACCAATCAGCACGCTCTATTGTGAATGAGGTGCAACTTCATTAATATGCATGATAGCTTCGAAGACTGTCTTTACCTGTTACAGTGTTCAGACGGCAGAGAAATGCCACGTTGTGTTACTAAAACAAGTGGAAGAAGAAGATGTGTTTGGAGGTACGGGTCATCAGTGTTGCAGTTACAATTTGCTGCAACAGGTTTTGTTTTCATTTCCTGCTATGAGAGCGCAGCTGGACTCACGTGTGGATTACAGTGGTCTGCTAACACGAGACAGAAATATATATTTGTAAGGAACATTTTTTTACTCAAGAGCTTTTCTCATCTGGAAATGGTGAAATCCAGATTTGCTGTTGGTCTCCTTTTAAAAAAGACGCGGCTCCAGTTGCTGTTGATTGTCCTGTCTTTACAGATTTGGTAAGTGTGTAATCAGTGCCTTTCATTTGTTTATTGTTTATTAGTTAGTTTGTATTGTCAGCAGTACTCTTTCAGTGTTTAAAGACAGACAATAGTCAAAATGATTGAGTTACTCAGTTCACAGCACTTTAATATCACTACAATATTATGGACTTAAAGATTTGCTGCAAATGCGGTTCTCTGAGTCTAAACATGTAACACCTCAATCAAACCATTACCATTGTGGAGGATTTTCACCGCATTTCGCGACAGAATAGTCTATACACACACTGCTGTGTTTCTACCGAGAAATGCTGAGGGTTTTTTTTTTTATTTTTTTTATCCCATACAGTGTGCAATATCAAATTCTATTAAAACTACACTCTTCCAGCAGTTCCAGTATCCGGATTGTCACAGGGGGCATGCATGAAATGTTCCTGAATAAAAGTGAATGTGCCAAGCTGCAATTAAATTATATGAAATTACTTGAAACTCCACAGGAAATGTCGAATTATGTGCAATAACATGTAAAACGGGATCATGAAAGGAACACTCAAAACGCAACTCATTTAAACACTTTAATCATATTATTGTCTTATTCAGATTAAGTCAAATCATTCCATTACTGATGTCCATGTAAACGTAGTCACTATCTATCTCTGCATCTGTGTTGCCGGTATGAAAATCAGCTGTAGTTCATTTAATGAAACTTCCCATGCAAACCCGTCCCTCTTTCGCCACTTGACACTCCCACCTAAGCAAAGCTGGACTTACCCGCTTTCCTGACTCTTTTCAAACTAGAGGTGTGAAAACACCCTGCTGAGAAGAGGCGTTTCATGGCCCTTTAATGGCTTCAGCCATAGGCCCAGTTTACACTAATGCGTTTTAGTTTGAAAACGTATTAGTTTTGCTACGGTTACGCCATCCGTCCACACTACGCAGGAGTTTTCGAGCGCCAAAAACAAAGCGTTTTGAAAATGCTGGTAAGGCTGGAAACGCCTGCTGCTCCGTCTCAGTGTGGATGAGGGAAAACGGAGACATCTGGAAACGGAGGCGGGGCTGCTGAGATTCGCCACCTGATTGGGGCTTTTGTGTCATTGCGTATCCTTCCCTTATTCGTCAAGCCCCTATCACATGACTATAACACATGACTTTTCTAATACCTTTCTTGCTTTCTTTGCCATCGCAATCATTGTTCAATCGGTGTTTGTTGACTAACAATAACCAAATGCCTAGCGAGATGCATGCTTCCTGTTTATACTAGAACACGCATGCCCAGAGTGCACGAATGGTCACGTAATATATACGGTTTTGGTGGCGTAGTGTGGACGGAGATATGTTCAGAGGTGAAATGCTAGTGTGGACGCGGATCATTTTTGATCTAAGACACCATTTTAAAACTAAAACGCACTAGTGTAAACGGGGCCTCAGTTAATCCAGTGTGTGTGCATAATAGCCTCGGTGTCCAAGCTCGGAACTTCAAACTAGTGCACAGCTGGAGCAACTTAGGGCGTACTCACACTATGCTATCCGTACCATGCCCAGGCCTGTTTCCCGAATCATTTGAGAAGTGTGAGTGCGCTGAATTAGTCTCAGGCACGGTTCACTTGGGCTTTGGTGCTTGTGTGTGAGTGCAAAATGCGCCAAAGCCTGTAACTGAAAGCGAGACTTGACTTTTAAGGGAGTTTGATATGGATTTATTAATCATTCTTACTGTTCAGTGAACACAAACTGCTGTAGTTTATTAAATACGCAAACCCCTCACTGCATGACAGCTGCACCTTCAGCAAACCTCCTAATTCCTGCAGCACGAGAGCTTTATGATTGTTTATGAGCGTCAAAAGTGGCGGATCTGTTCAGCGAAATATTCAAGTGGTGCTCGCT